TGAACACCGGCCGCAATGCCTCTCCCAAACACCAGTACTATATTGACGGGACGAGGCTAGAAACTGTGGAAAGACACAGAGATCTGGGTGTATGGACGACCACAAATCTGACGCCATCAGAACACTGCAGAAAGATGGTCCAGAAGACAACTAGTACTCTACACTGGATCAGACGCGCATTAAAAATATTTCCTCCCGAACTTTTCGAAAGACTCTTTGGTGTCTGTAAGACCTCATCTAGAGTATGGAATGCCAGCAGCCTCACCATGGATGAGGAAGGATATCAACTTACTCGAACAGGTGCAACGCAGAGCGCCAAAGATGGTCGACGGTCTGAAACAATTGTCTTATCAGGAGAGGCTGAATTCGCTTGGCCTATTCCTTCTCTCTTACAGACAAATAAACTGCAGTCTACTCTGGATGTTCCGGATTGTTCGCGGCCAGGGTTGCTCATTAAGAGCAGAGGACTTCTTTGAGTTCGCCCATACAAACCAACTACGCGGCCATGCATACAAAGTCGGGAATGAGCGCACGCGTTTAGACCCACGAAAATTTTCATTCAGCCAGCGGGTTGTCAGGCCGTGGAACTCGCTTCCAAGCGAGATGGTGACGGCTGATACAGTTTGTGTGTTTAAAAGAAAACTTGCTCGTCTAGTTTTCGACCGAAATCGGCTTGTACAGCATGACTATGCACAGCCAGTTTTGTAAAATCTGTCATATACAATCTTCCGCACTAATTTACAGTGACCCAATGCACTACCTTATGAATATGATTGAACTGTGAACCAATCACATTTTAAATGCCTGCAATTTTATTTTATTTTTGAGTATGAATCTGCGAAAGCACTGTACATAAATAGGGTCATCAAGGGCTCTGCCTGTAACCCTTCAATATACATACATACAATTCTCTGCGTCATCATTACACTTGACTTCACTCCATATTTTTATGTCATCCGCGAACATGAGAGCCTCGCAATTCACTTCGCTGATGCAGTCATTAACATAAATCAGGAAGAGTACTGGGCCTTAGACAGAACCCTGTGGGACACCACTTTCCACATTTACCCATTCCGAGGTAGAATTACTAACGACGACTCTTTGGAGCTCGGAGGACAGAAAACTCCTGATCCACGTAAACATTCTCCCTTGAATCCCTACATCCCAGATCTTTTGTAAAAGAAGCCTGTGTGGGGCACTGTCAAAGGCCTTCTTGAAGTCAAAAAATATGACATCTACTGGAAAACCCTTATCGGTAGCTCGTGTCCATTTCTCTTGCGAGTAAAGAACGCTCGTTAGGCAGGAGCGCCCTGGACGAAAGCCGTGCTGGGCATCACACAATATTTTGTTCTGTTCCAGGTATTTCATCAAGTGTCTTTTGATGATGCGTTCCATTATTTTACACGCGGTGCAAGTAAGACTGGCAGGACGATAATTTCCGCAGTCAAGTCTTGAGCCTCCTTTATGGATCGGAGTAATGAGTGCGCACTTCCATTCTTCCGTGTGCTTGCCATCTTCAAATGACTTTTGAAATATTGCGGATAAGGGTTTGCACAGTTCATTAGCAAGTTCACGAAGTGCTAGGGCGTGAAGTCTATCTGGGCCAGGCGATTTGACAGGTTTCAGCCGGAGTAGCTCGGCCCTAACTATGGTAGATGAAAAGAGTGGTTCCTCGGTTAAGGAAGGTAGGGAGGGGATAGGAGGGGGGGGAGGTACTGGGAGGAGAGGTTGGTTGGCGAATGGATGGATGGGCAAATATGGCACTAGGTTCTCGGGTGAAGACGGACTGAAAGAAGTCGGAAAGGAGGGACGCTTTAAGCTGGTCATCAATCTCCACTTTTCCATCTGCAGACCTAAGGGCAGGGATGAGCTCCTGAGTCCTTTTTGTGCTTCGTATATAACCATATATAATTTTCGGATGCTCCAACGAATTTCAGAGGATGTTTAGTTCAAACTTCTTTCGCAGCTTTGAGGCCTCACTTTTACCGACGTTTCGTTGCCGCTTATATTCCTGTAAGTGTTCGTCGGAGCCAGTTAGTCTGTAACGCCTCCACAGACGATTCCTTTTTCTGAAAGAGGCCTTCAAGTCCGGGTTTATCCATTTTGGGCGGTTTGTGATTTTCTTTCTTCTGAGAGGACAATTAGAATAAACAATCTCTTTCAGTAAGGAACTGAAAGTATTCCAGTTATCGTTTGCTCGACCATGCAGTTCAGTCTCCCATGATATAGTTGCCGCTTCCCTCCTCATGAGAGAATAGTCCCCTTTCCAAATGTTTCTCTCCCACCTCTCGGGTTGGACGGGTTTGGAAAACAGTAAGTATTCGAAGTAGAGCGTGATGTGGTCGCTTGATCCTAATGGCTGTCGGTCCTGCAGGTCTAACACATTTTCCTCCTCTCGGGTAAAAATAAGATCAAGGCAGTTTGACTGCTGCCCTTCCCTGACCCGTGTTCCAAAGGTAACATTCTGGCAGAGAAGTTTGTCCGTTGCCCATTGTAGTAGTTTGTGATTAAAGCTGTCTTGCGGCCCTTTTGCAGTCCACGTTGGCCAATCAATGCCAGGAGCGTTAAAATCCCCAACGATAAGGACGTCTTTCTTCTCGCTAGCTTGGTACAGTTCGGATATGAGCATGCGATTTTGGTCAGAAGTATGGTTAGGTGAACGGTACACCACCGAAAGCGTCAATGACCGGACATTCATAGTAGATATGGTAACGCTTAGCAGTTCCACATCCCGTGCCGGTCTGTGCACATCAGCCATAGCGCTTAGCTTGTAAGTGACATAAATTATGTCTCCTCCTCCTCGGCTTAGTCTATCTCTCCTAAATTGCTGATATCCTCTAAGTGATATTTCTGAATCTGCAATATCTTCAGTAAGCCACGTTTCTGTGAATGCCATAATGTCTGGCTTAATTTCATCAACTAAGTCTCTTATTTTCTCTAGTTTGTTGAAGAGGCTTTGCACATTTGCGGATATAACCTTCAATGACTGATTCGTTGGAGAGGCCCGCCTTCATTGTGACGGGTTCTGACCACAGGAAAGACCCCTTTGTCTGGACTATTTGTCCATTTTTGATCTTCAGCCCTTTCTCTCCTCTGCCAATTCTCTCCTTCAATTCTGATCTCAGTTCTCTCACTTTCAGTCTTTCCCTCGGTTCGTAGTCTGGTTGAAAAAACACTTCCTTGTGCGAATTGCGTAAGGTCGTTCTACTTTCTAACAAAAGCGCTGCTTGGGCTTCGTTTTCCAAAATAACTTTCAGGGGTCTTGGGGATGTTTTTAGGTCACGATTTGGGTCCGCTCTGCCTAGTCGGAAAGTTTTTTTTAACAGTGAATATTTCCCCATCCTGCAGGACGGCACTGGCGTACTGATGTAGAAGGTCTAGGTCGTGCGTCACTCGTTCCTTCGGAATGCAGGACGTGGACTCTGGGGCGCCCCTTATGACAATATTTTGCTTACGATTTGTGGAAGAGCTCATTACTGTCCCGTCTGCACTAGGACGATATAATGCTACTGTAGTATTCCCGACGGATGTTGTCACTTCGACATTTGAATGATTTTCGGCCGGCGAAGGGGGTATAGGGCACGTATTTTCATGTGACGTACTTGCTCCGGCAGTGGAGCTCTTACAATCATTACCCTTTACGCTCCTTTTTGACCTTATTTCCTCTGACATGCAGGAAAAAACCAACATGCAACAGTCTAGTTTGTTTCTGTGTCGAAATAACAAGGAAATAGGTATTTAGTCGATCACACTCCGAAATTGAACTCGTGGGCCGGGGAAGTGTACCTCACTTTTCAATAAACAGATGCAAGGGTGCCAAATAAGGCGTCATGACGTAGGTGGACGGAAGAATTTCGTGATGTGAAGTTCTTTTCACATGGACAGTTGGTGGGAGATTTTCAAATACCGTCATGTTGTTGTATAGAAAGCCTTGGCAAAGGCGTATTGAAGGGGTCATGACAGTGTGACCGTCGATTCCAACGATGTCCACCTTCTGCCCACAGCAAGGTAGATGCAGGGACGATTACTTTCATGTTAATCGGTTTATAGGGACAAAAGACTTGCGCAGTATCTGCCACTTCCTCTATCTCTCCCACCTCAGGACCGGAGGCAAGATCGGGTGCAATGGCTGGCAGAATCCGACAGCTCGTCTACGCTTGCCGCTCGGGCCTGATCCGTTGCCTACGGATAGACTTTTCATAGGAAAAACGAGATGGCAGCTGGGAGGCCATCTGAGCGGGAGTACCCAGAAAGTCGTGTTAATAAGGACTAATTGGAACCTGATTCTCGTCCTTCAAGAAGAACCGAGGTATTTCGTCAGTTTGGTGACTTCAAAATCACGACTGTGAGATCGCTATGATTGCTCCAAGTGCGTCAGATTGCTTGTAGCAAGGAATATACGCCGAGAGTCTACCGTGAACGTGACGTCCACAGCGGGTGATATATGCGGGAGGCACTGTTGGAGGCAGCTGAGTAGGTGTTGTAGTGGACAAGTTAAGGGTGGAGGAAGAGGTTGCAGTTTGATGCTGCGAACAAGAAGAAAGAGGAAGAACACGGGACGGAGGGATAGGTGGAGAAAGTGGAAAAGGAGTGGGAGGAGGTATGGGGTCAGCACATGCTTGTCCTTGAGACACGTCCGGGGGCTCATCTGCAACAGCAGCCTTGACCCGGTCGATGCTGACTACGTCCTCTTTGTCACCTCGCAGGATCCGAAAGGTCTCGCTGTTACGTGCAAGCACACGGAACGGTCCTTCGTATGGTGATTATAACGGCTACGGCACAAGATCACACCGAAAGAACACATGGGTGCAGTTGGCTAAGCCTTTTTCAACATAAGGCTTGGTCGATGGAGCTCGAGGTGGAACCGGGAAAAGCGAGCGCATGAATTGTCGCAGAAGATGCACAAAATTTTCGGGGGTCTCTTTGGCACCACGAAAGGTTGGGGTGACCATCTCACCAGGGAGTCGGAGGGTAGTGCCGAAAACCAATTCGGCTGCGCTTCAGTCCAAGTCTGACTTCAGTGCCGCACGAATGCCAAGAAGTGCAACGGGTACATTGTCTGACCAGTTTTCGGGATCTTCTGCGGCACGCAGTGCAGTTTTTAGCTGACGGTGGAAACGCTCAACCATGCCGTTGGCAGCTGGGTGGTAGGCCGTCGTCTGAATACGTGTGCAGCCAAGGAAGCTGAGGAGAGTTTGCAAAAGTGTGGACTCAAACTGCGCGCCTCGATCAGTTGTAATCATTGATGGCGCACCGAATATGGCGACCCAACGACTGACGAAGGCTTTTACAATGGTCTTAGCTTGCACATTCGGTAAAGGAATGGCTTCCGGCCAACGAGTATAGCGATCAACACAGGTGAGAAGGTGAGTATAGACATTGGATGGAGGTAAAGGACCTACGACATCTAAATGCACATGGTTGAACCGTGCATCGGGGTTGGGCAACATGCCCGATGGAGACTTGTTGTGGCGTTGAACCTTGTTACGTTGGCAGCAAAGGCATGATTGTGTCCAAGCTTTCACATCCTTGTTCAACCCAGGCCATACGAACCTTTCCGCGAGGAGCTTCTGTGAGGCTCGAATCCCAGGATGGGAGAGTCCGTGGAGAGTTTGAAAAACAGCTTGACGCATCGAGGCAGGCACATAAGGGCGATGAAAAGGAGTCGATACGTCACAAAGGATTGTGCCAGTGCCGGTGGTCAATGGGACGTCAACTAATTGAAGACTGTTAACAGACTCGTCGCCAGGACATCCAACACGTCGTTGTTCAGCCGCCATAGCACCAAGATAAATCCCGTGTGAGAGGTGAAACGCCGAGAGGGAAGGTCTGGACAGCATGTCGGCCACCGCATTCTTCGGGCCATCAATGTGGCGTATGTCGGTGATGAATTGTGAGATGTAATTCAAATAAGAAATCTCTCTCGGGTTATATTTGTCAGAACGGGATCGGATGGCAAATTTAAGTGGTTTGTGGTCTGTGAAAATTGTGAAGTCACGACCCTCAAGGAAGTGTCGGAAATGTTTTACGGCCAGGTAAATGGCAAGAAGTTCACGGCCAAACGTGCTATATCTCGTCTCGGCAGGTGAAAGCATGTGGTCTATATTGATTTCCGGAAAGCTTTCGACAGTGCTCCTGACGTAAGTTATGTCGTTCCCGCGAACTAACGAACTACGGCTTACTAACCTCATAAACTGAGAGAGGTAAGGAATGCCAGTAAGTGAATAAAGTCAATATTCAAAATGTTCAACGACCTGACCAGAGAGCATGCAAGCGGCGCGAAGCTTACAAGCGGCGGAGTCCTCGTCACGTTAAAACAAATGCTACAGTAAAACAAACGTGACAAGATTGTCAAAGGTCAAGTAGTCAAGTACTTCAGCACACTCCGCACCAGCGTCTCCTGCGCAAGTTGAGAATTATGGGCATCGGCGGCAGACTTCTCAAGTGGATCGAGAATTTCCTTGTCGGCTGTTCCCAAATTTTCTGCGTAAAACAACAGCAATCAAGACGCACATTCATAGAGAGTGGATTCCCACAAAGCTCGGTGCTCGGACCAACCCTCTTTCTCTTGTTCATCAATGATTGTGTAGATGGGTTGGACTGTGATAGTACCATGATTACGGATGACATAAAAATCTGCAAAGTCATCCGGAATGCTGCTGATGAGACCAACTTCCAAGAAAATCTTTTTCAATTGGACGAATGGTCCCGCAGATGACTCTTGTTCTTCAATTTGAACAAATTTCCCATTCTGCGCCTCGGAAATCAGACCCCTAGTACGCGGAAATATCATTTGAACGGAATGCCACTCCGAGAAGCAGAAACTCAGAAAGATCTCGGAGTCTGGGTTGCAGACGGCCGAAGCCTTCTTCACAATGTTGTAAGGCGGCCAATGCCGCAACTTCAATGCTATATGCCATCCATCGGGAATTCGCAGTTTTCGATGAAGACTGCTTCTCCAAAGTCTTCGGCACGTTTGTAAAACCACATCTCGAATATGCAATTCAGGCCTGGAGACAGTGAACGAATCAGGATTACAATCTGATCGAAAGGGTGCAGAGGCGAAAGACAAAATTAATAAGAGGTCAAAGTGCATTGCCATACGAGATCCGCCTAAATAACCATAATCTCTGTCCTCTGAGTTATAGGCAGTTGCGCGGTGATTTGATAAAATCTTTCCGTATCGTGCGTGGCTTGGACTGCGCTCTTCGGTGCGATGACTTTTTCCAACTGGCCACCACAACTAACCTCCTGGGACATCCCTTCAAGTTGCGTGTGCCCCAGGGTAGATTAAATGTGAGAAAATATTTCTTCTCCAATCGTGTCGTGGAACCGTGGAATAACCTGCCCGAGACAATTGTCATGTCTCAATCTGTGGAGACATTTAAATGTCGGCTTGACAGATATATGTTGTAGCAACAAACGGACTATGTGAATTTTTAGCCATGAGACAAGTGACATATGTGAATCAAAGTCTGCATTCACTTAATGCAGTAGTTTCTTCACATTTCGCTTATTTATCTATTTTTTATGTACATATAGGGAGTTCAAAGGCGTAAGCCTATTTTCCTCAAATAGACTGACTGACAACTTTTAGCAAGGTACAGAAAGTGTGTATGATCACCTGTGAATGTGATGGTAAAGGTTGCCGTCGTTGAAGTTTGATGCTAGAATGACAATGATAACGTTTGTGAAGGCGGCAGGTGGAGCTGACTGATTACTGTTGCATTGCGCCTGGGGACATCTGACAGGCCAGATCAGTCCGCGGAATATTTGTTAACAGCGTAAGAATGTTTCAGGGGGTTTGATGTGGGCGTTATTGATCTGACACGCTCAAGACTCTTTGCTTTAGAGTTGTGAAAATTTCCCCTGGAAATATTCAGAAGACTAGTCGGAGAGTATTCGTTTGTCTTCGATAAATTTTCGGCAGGCCAGTACATTTATACGGGAACGGGGTCAAGTAAAACATGTGAATGATTAGAGGAATCAATAACAGCCCGTCATAAAACACAGGTATGTTGTGGGAAAATGTGGGGGTAGGAGTAATAAGAACCATGTCAGGGGCGGGATAACAGCGAAAGAGCGTGGGGAGGTGCGTGTAATTAGTCGACTTTTGACCACGATAAGCGCGGACCCTTAACGAGGTTCCTTCGCGCAGACAAGGCCGGCTTTCATGGCCTAATAGTAACCACTTCTGCCGTTGCTAGTAAACATTGGTCCAGTAGCTTAGGATCGATCGATTAGGTCCTATAAATCGCGCGAAAAACTTCCCTAGGGTCTATAGGATTCCCGGGATCAACAACAGTTGCGAGAGTGGTGCTCTTTATGCTCCCAACTTCACATTTTTCAGGCCAATCAGGGAGGTTTTTATTTATTCTTTTGGACAGGTGTTGACTTCTGCGGCCTCAATCAGGCTACGAAAGCCGGTTTTATATGCGCAGAAGAGCCGCATTCAGGTCCGCGCTTAACGTGGTCAAACACCGACTACTTGCATGCACCTCTTCGCCCCCTCGCGCTTTCCTTTCGTCTCTGGCATGATTCTTATTACCTCCATCCCTCCCCATATTTCCACATCACGCCTGTGTTTAATGACGAACTTTCATCGTTTTCTATAATTATTGACATGTTTTGCTTGAACCCGCCCCATATAAATGCACTTTTGACTTTGACAGCAACGATCCGGGTGGCCTTATAGACTGTTACTCCGGTCTTTGTTGCTCTTATCCAGACCGATGAATCCTACGTGAGATCCCCTGTGGACTCTATGTTGACTTCATATTCCTGAGAGAAATTTTTGATGTTCTCGTGACGTCGCCGGCGAGTAGCGGCTTGGGTATTGGCTTGACGTTAGTCCTCGAGACGTGGTCGCCACATTACAATTGGATTGGTGTCAATGTGACATGGATGTCGAAGATCCCTGTTCGTTCTGCGACTTGTCACCACAGCTTCAGTATATTACGGAAGCAGTTGAGACGGGAGTGGTTGAGTCGCATGGTTTGTTCGTCGTAAACTTTTCATGTTTCCACTATGTACAGCAACGTATTCAGGACTACCGTCGGGCAAATCTTAAGTTTCGTGTCCAGATAGAATCAACGGCTGTTCCAGACCGAAGGCTGTAGGAGACCGAAAGGCTGACTAGATTTGAGGACTTGGTGAGCCACTTCATCACTGATCTTGACACTCCTTGAAAGTGAACTTCTGACGTGTTTGGATTTGTGCTCTGGTGCAAGTCGGGTTCAGTTGACGTTTATATGGGTCCATGGTGCACCAGGTTGGCCACCGATTTGCGCATGACTACCGTCTTCTTCTCTTTGATGGTCAGTCCGAAGTTAGGGCAGCCGGAGACGAAGAGATCCGCACTCCGCCGCACGTCCTCCTCCGTTGTAGTATTAAACGCGGAGTCATTAATGAAATATGGGTCATGTAAGCCGGCCTTATAAACCCCCGAGGACATCTTCAACCGACGAATGACTGACAGTTTTCCGTTGGTTTGTTGACAGATGTTAATCCTCCACCGCTGCCCATGGTGGGCGTCCACCAGCATAGCAGTGGACATGAGGCTGAATAGGGTAGGAGCAACTCCACAGCCCTGTTACACCTCTTTGCACACAGAGAACTCTTTGGATATTGTTCTGTTGTTCTTGGTGCTGGCCACCATCCCATCTTGAAGTGGACACCCAATTTTTTGAAGCTTTCCGGGCATCTAAGTTTCGGCATTACTTCCTAGATTCCATTGCGGTTGACTTTGTCGAAGGCTTTCATTAAATAGTCAAAGGCGGTGTAGAGTCTGGTCCCTATTTCTTGGCACCACCCCTGAAACTGTCGAGCTGCGAAGACTCCGTCAGTAGTTCCACGGCTCCCGAGAAATGCACACAGGCTTTCTGAGAGAAGTCCCTGCTCTGGGTGGGAAGGATGTGGGCGAGAATTTTATTAGTCGTGTTTGGTAGTGCAATGCTTTTGTGATTGTCACAAAATTGTTGGTTTCTCTTGTCGTCGTGTATATGGACGATGGTCGTGTCTTGAAGGACATGTCATTGTCGACAGACCTCAAAGGATACCATGGTCAGTTTATACATCGATCGAGGGCCGCTGTGCTTATAGACTTCGGCCTGGATTGCGTCGGATCCCTGTGTTTTCTCGCTGAACATCTAGCGTACAGCCTTGATTTCTGTAAAAGAAAACAGAAGGCCCAAGTCATTGCGCATTTCCGCGTAGGAGAGTCAGCACGGAGACGTCGGAGACTGTGGGCAGTCTACCGCGGATACTTCTGAAGTGCTCGGCCTGGTTTTTCAGGATTTCCGATCTTCCCGTCCAAAGTGTTGATTCGTAAGAGTTAAGTAATGACGGGATTGCTTTGTTTGTGGCCACGTAGACTGTTTCGATTGACGCGAAGAAGTTTTCCATTTCATAGCGGTCCGCGTATCTTTGTATTTCCACGGTTCTGTGATCCATTCACACATATTACATCTCCCGCAGGTGTCACTGCACTAAACAATGGCATCTAAAAGGGCCGCTTATTTTGCGTCGGTTCCACAGTGGACGCAGGCTTTGTGCAGTCCTATCTTCTAGACGATCAGGTCGGTGATTTATGAACCGTTGTCGTCGAAACTGTCCTGGGGTTCACGACGTACATAACCAAGGACGTCCAGAGCGGTGAATTGGATATCGTCCCGCGGTTAACACCATTATATCTCCACGGAGGCGTTGTCGTATTGAACGTAAAGTTCCTCTAAACGGTAGGTCAATTGATGACCGAAATGTAAGCGGTGAGCTGACAACCTCAACAAAAAGTATCTAACTTACCTGGTGGCCATCTGGAGAATTGCACGCGGAGCCTCGTCTCACAGATGACGAGGGAGCGACCCATATAGCTATCCATGTCGCAAACTGCCTTCGTTCTCAGGACGTCTTGTCGATTCCGCCTCCGCAAGAGGACGTAGTTTAGCTGGTGCCAACGCCGTGAGCAAGGGTGTATACAGGTTGCCTCTTCCCGCATCGTAAGCCGCAAGAAAGTGTTGGCGAGAAGACACTATTCTGTGCGGGTTCACAAAAAGAGGAGGCCGTTAGTATTGAATCTCCCGATTCCCTGGGGACTGAGCAGCCACTCCGACGCAGAGTGGTTGGTTCTGACGGGGGCATTGAAATGACCAATGAAAATTAGTTCGCCCGTTTTTGCCATAGTTGTCAGGAAATCGTGCATGACTTCCGAATCTTTGTTCTGCCCCTCGCCAGAGCTACCTTTTATGAGCGCAGGCCCCGACGCCCGTGGCGAATTTGATTCCTTAAAGAGGGAGGTGCGGGCCCTTGAATTGGTCGTTGATGTCTTTCGGAAGACAAAACGGCCGTCCAACTATGTCGCCCAGGACGGACAGGGCGAGACCAAATCACGTCATTCTGCCTTCCGGCGGCCTCTTTAGAATGATGTTGAGTCGGCAGTTACGCTTTCCAGCTGGCCTTACTCTGGGAAGCGGGTCACAAGGAAAAAAGCGTCTCCCACTTTATGAAGCGTCAGCTCTCGAGTGACTAACATCTTCCTCCTTTCTGGTCGGTTGCTCCGCGGATTGTCGAAAGGAGCAGAACAACTCTTGTCTGCCAGAGTACGCGGAATCCCTCCAGCAGCCACTGGCGTAGGAGGTGTGAGGAAGAGGGTTGTCGTTGTTTGTTGCATTGTTGTGACCGTTCATCTTATTTCCACGAGACAGGGTATGCTTGCAGGTGCCATGATATCTCAGCGTTTGCTCAGTGACCTTTGCTAGATCCTTCGCCTTCGAGGAGTAAGCAGTGCTTTCCCTCAATGGACTACTTGGACATCCTCACGGTTACCGAACTCCAATATGGATAACGACTTGGCTCAACGTAGGAACGATCATACTTTTCCCGGGTGGCTTACGGATTATGTGTCATTATTTTCGTAGGATTTTTTGAAAATGGGGAGGGGTGAGGGTGGCGGGAGTGTTGGGAAGAAGAGCAAAATTACCGGGTATAGGGTTACACACAGCACCGGATACCCTCATCTGGTTCGGTCCGCGGGTCGATAAGGTTAGCGTGATTTGGCCGCTAGAGAGTGCCTAGAGTAGGGGAGTCGCAAATGAAAGGTTGGTATTAGTTAATGGTCGTGCAGAGCAACCCACTTGATACAGATGACGCCACCTACCAAAACTGCACGGTTTTCTCTTAACTGGACACACCTATATCGCAATTGGATTATGCAAAAATGACTAACAACATACGAAAAACAAAAACATAATAAACGGCTCTAGGCGTGCATGCCCAAGATGATGCATATGTTGATGCTGGCTTGGGAGAAGTTCCAAGGCCCAGACCCGCAGTATCAAGCATAGAATAATTTGTATCGTTAGCCAGCCGAAACTTTGTTGAGGCTGACACATTCGATTATTTGAGCTCTTCAGGAAAGAAATGGAGGACTACAAGGTCAATATCACAAATTTACAAAGGTTATGGTGCTGTTTTGACATGAGGCCGATTTCTACCTCATTTTTCATACTTGAAAGAAGAAGCATTTCCCGACAAAAATGGAAGACATAGTAAAAGTATAATTTCTTTGGAGAATTCCCTGTTTGTATTAATAATCAATCCCAGAAATTTTTTCATGCGAAATTAAAAGGTGGGAGACATGAGTTCTCATCCATGACCTGAACTGACTTGTTGTGTTAAAGTACCTGCGATCTGATTTGAGCCGCACTTTTTGAATTTCTACGTGTTCGTGTGGGATGGGTAAGTACTCCTGGGAGCCGAAGGCTGAGGATGAGTCTCGCACTTGCAAGGCACGCGCACCCTACCTGCGCGTTCATTTTAAGAACACTCACGAATGTTGTCGGGCGATTAAAGTGTGTTCTTCTCTTAGAATGCTCACCGTGTTTAGGGTATGACTCTCCAGCGTGCTCGCGCATACCTGAAGAATGTTATTGCCAAGAAGGAGATCGTTCCGTTCCGTCGCTTCAATGGCAGTGTTGGTCGCCATGCACAGGCTAAAGCATGGGGCGTTGTTCAGGGTCGTTGGCCCAAGAAGTCTGCCGAGATGCTTCTCCAGCTTCTGCACAACGCTTTTAGCAACGGCGTTAACAAGAATATTAAGGGCGGTGAGGCCAGCCGATTGTACATTAAACACATTCAGGTTAGTGTTTATTTATTTAATAGTCCGAGTAGGTTAACCCTGCCCCCTCACTTCGCCGCCGCACATATCGTGCTCACGGGCGCATCAATCCTTATATGTCCTACCCATGTCACATCGAGGTGATTCTGGCCACCAAGGAGGATGTCGTGCCCAAGGTTGCAGCTGCATCTGCTCAGCCGACAAAGAAGAAGGAATCTAAGAAGAAGCTGAAGAGGCAGATGATGAAGGAAAGCGACGGATTCTAGTGTACAAAACGAATAAATGGTCGACTGTCAACGGTCCTAAGAGCGGTTTGCGTTTTTTCTGCCTTGTATGCTAGGTTTGGGATTTGACCAGTTATAGCTTGCACATGACAATTCGTCAAGTGCGTCTGACATTTTCATTCGTTTGGAGGCGAGAAACCTTAGCCTTGTCTACTCCCCAAGGCCGTGTGGCGATCCCATCCCCTCTCGCTTTCCAGGTCGTTCGATATTGTTTCGGCGGTTATTACAGTACATTAATACTTGAAGGCGCGGCTGATTTTGACTAGAGAGTGAAACTACGTAGTACGATGCAGGTCCGGCTAGTTATCCACGTTCCATTTGGTCTTTCCCAGACTTCTGCGCATGTTCTGACACCTACATGACCTCGGGTTCTGTTAACTGCTGGATGCCCCAAAGTTCCTTCACGAGACGAATCACTGTAGTTTGAGATGCTTTATATACTTAAGCAACCTCCTAAATTCCTGTACTAGGAGGCAGGATTGCCGTGTGCCATTCCTTGGACTGGATTTGTGCACGTCGAACTTGTTCTCCACACAATTTCGAGTGTCGCTGTCTCACTTTTTGACCCGATTTGGTTATTACCTGTCGCGTTATGCTTGGACAGAAGATGGCGGCGGTCAGTAAACAAAGGATGTGGGACGAGTATGTGATGTCGCACCGGTTGCAGCGGCCGATCATGCCTACTGTAGCCCACCTTGGTGCTGTCGCGAATTTCAGCACCACAGTGACCATCTGTGGCAGCTGATCTGGAGAACTCGATCCCTTCTCCGGCCTCGAGGACCTACTGTCAAAGGTTCAAAAACCATCTCCATGTCTTCGCGAACCCCGCCGGGCCAGGTTTCGGTTTGGCCTCTTCGATGCATGCAGGTAGGCAACGACGCCGAATCGAGGACAGCGGCGCTAAACTCATGAGGTAGACGACGAGGGAGGGGCCCAAGTCACAAGTCGTACTTTTCAGTTAACGTGAGATGTCTTCACAGTGCTGTCTCAGCGATCGCGACGGTTTTATCTTAGACGACGCCCGCGTACTTCACACGAGGAATGGGCCCTCAGGCAGAGGTTGTTCATAACTTTCAGTTTCCGCTCATCCTCCACACGCACAGTCCAGCACTCAACTATATAGGTGGAATAGCCGGGCGAATGCCGGGATCTTGGTGCAAGTGACGGTGTCGCGTAGGGTCCGCACACTTTCTAAGAGTCGGTTAATCTTGCGAACAACAGCGACTCTCCCTCACCCTCCATGCGGCAGCAACCTCGCCGAGTTATTTGAAGGCATCTTAAATTCGACAGCCAGGTGCCTTCTCATCAGGAACGCAGCTCTGCCCAACGTCTACTCGCCCTCGACGCCAGAGCTTGAGGTGAGCAAGGCGGTGCCAGCAGTCCGGTCGATCGATCGGCACCGCGGATGCAGAGCAAACAGTGCAAAAGCCGTGTAGGGCACTTTCAAAGATCCGATCAGGGGCGTATTTGGACGCAACGGGCCATAGAACAACTCTGTGGATCGCCAGGTAGAATATCGGACGGTTGAGGGATTGCTATGAGTCGGAACTCGCGCAGTGGTGAAACAGTAGTTGACCCTTAACAGGGCGATGATTTCTGTCAGCATACTGTCTAGTCCAGTCTTCTTGCACAGGGACGGAATCGAACGGTGCGGTTAAGTCAAAACATGAGGCCGTCGGTTGCTGGTAGTCATGCCGGAATCCGAGAGCCGGCCACAGTGAGTATCCGATCGGCGCGTCCGCGCTCAGGTTTGGTAACGCATGCGTGGAATCACCTGAGAATGACGACGGCTAGGACCGAATCACGTCAATGGTGCTTGTGCCACGGCAATTCTCGCCCTTTGTCTCCTTGAAGACAGACAGGACGCCCGAGCTCCAGTCATTTGGAACGACCTCATCGTCCCACACTTGCTCATTCGCGGTGTGGAGTCCGGGCACAACCCTGGCCGAGTTGTCAGCAATAGGACCCCATAGTTTTGCGATGATATCCGAAGTCTTATTCCCCGAGTTGGACGAAGGAATCATTATCGTGGGACCTGACTTGAGCCGTATGAGCAGACAGCAGTAAGGTTCTCCCGCTGCTTCAGTCACTGCGGCATCGCTGAAGGAATCCAGGAATTTAGTCGTTACTAGCTGATGACGCCGACGGTCATTTGCTACTACCTCCGGAACCGGGTTCCCATGCTCAAGGCCTCGGATGGATTGATACCATCTTGTTTTTACGAAATCGGGGCGTCCTGCATATGAAAGTTGGGGCGCGGGTAAGAGGTGGACTTATAGGTGGGTACGAACAACAACGTGGCCTGACCCATAGGCGTTATCAGTTTCTACACCATGCACCGACCTGCTATCGTGAACCCAGCTGCGGGAACCTGAACGGACTATAGTGTTGTCGGGCCGCCTGACCGGATTTTTGTTGTTTGAATTCCAGATCAGCGGATATTCGCAGCGGTTTGAAGCACGCGTTGGTGACAAGTAGTCAGTTCTGATCGGCAGATCATGGTGAGTCGCCCAACTAACTTATGGCTGCAAGCACGCCTCTTCGTCGCGCCGGTGTTCGTGCGTAAAAGGAGCCGACAGGAATGTCTATTAAGTGCCCCTTCAGTCTAACGCTAGCCAACCGGTCATTGTCTGGTCTCCACACACAAGGGCAACGGTCACACCGTGTCTATCAAAAGAGTCGCATGGGCTGCTGTGGTATAGGATGATTGCCTCTAAAAAGGAGCAGGCGATTGGTGCGTCGACCAACAGGGGGGCCAGATCGGAGTCCGGCGGGCGATATCGGGAATGTGCACCCATAACAAGTGCCAACGCTGCCGGCAGGCTTCACTGCAGGCGCATTCCGTGCAAATTTGGATCTGTGCCGCTTCCCTTTTGTGCGAAGCCCTGGTCAGTATACGTCGCAGTTCAGAGGGTGAGGCGGTACGCCAAGGTGCGGGTTTTCGCCGTGCCAACCACCTGTGCCCTCTCCCACCTCCGGCCTTCATGATCCAGTTATGACACCAGGCGCGTGTGGGCAGAAGATAGTGCGGTAGATGCAGCACGCGAGTCCACTATCATTATAAAAGAAACCATGCGCAAGTCACCATTCCTACTCTCACCCTGTTTTGGAGCACACGGTAGACATGGTCGGCAGCGACGGTCGAGCTGTTAGTATGGGATAAAGTGGGATTTGACCCCAAGTGTCGTTTTTCACTAGTGCCAGGGGTTTGGTCTTCAAAGCGGCAGCAGGGATCCACACCGTACCGACGAAGACTGGGTGCCGTCAGATTTAAGGTGCCGGGACCCAAAACGCTAGCAAATGTCAGCAGGCAATACCGAGGTTCCGTTCCTAATTGGGTAGTCCAGTCAGCTTACTACTCGCTCGCACCACTGGATCGGGGTAATGGAGCTCGCTGGTTCCCTCGCGCACCGTTGTATCTTTATGCATTCGCCCGACCCAATCAACGAGGGATAAATTTCCAATTGAGGTGACGGTTGCAGTTGCGCTCGCACTGGCCTGATCATCGGTGGCGGCTGACGAGTGCGACAGCGCACTACCCGGAGATACAAGAATTCGAAAGATTTTTAAGCGGATTCGTGTTGTGAGTGGGAAGAAGCGGAAGACAGAGGGCTGCCGTTCGTGTATTAGAGCAGACGGTCAAAAATATACGCAGAGATTTCCTTTTCCGGATCACCTGGTATTTTGCGGGTGAAACTGAATATATAGAGTTGTACGTACAGCCATATTATCGAGCTCGGTACTCGTTGCTAGTACTGTGTATACGGAATGACTGGCTCGAGGGCTTGGCGTCAGGCTTAATGGCTGTCGAACGCGGTCTCTACGGCACTCTCACGCACGTGAGATCGCAGCCGCTCCCTTGTGTCTGCGGAAACTTGGCGAGAAACAGATCGTGTGTGGCATGCGTAGACGGGTTGTTTAGTTCACTCAGTCACCACGTCCGAGTCCGCTTCCGAACTTATTGATTCTGTCTTGACACCGAACTCATATGGGTGAGGAAGGAGAAAGTGCAGCAGATGCTGCCCAAGTCTGTCATCACTACAAACTGACTCACGTAGAAGTCACCGTCCTGCGCCTACCATGTTTTTGAACACACAGCAGACTCCGCCGCATGCGGCGGTCGAACTTTTACCATCGAACACATGCGAAGCGTTGTTCATACACCTTGATGATATTAAAAAGTGGTTTTACAGCTGGTGCCTTTGTGCACTCGTGCAGCCTCGACTGAGACTACATTCAAGGTGCATAATTACCTAATTTTGCTTGTATCGACTAACATGGGTACCGGCTTGCTCGACTCCTGAGTGTATAGCATTGTGAAAAGGTGTGTTTCGTGTCCCGAAGTCCTCGGCTGGGCCAACAGCATTGACCTCTCCGTTTGGCGTCCGAATCCTGGAACGCAGAAGACTCTTGGGCCTAATATGACCTCCAGGCTTGAATTCGTCACTTAGGTCCACTTTATTTGACCGTTGTTGCCACTGCTGCTGCTGTTGCTACTACTACTACTACTACTACTACTACTACTACTACTACTACTACTACTACTACTACTACTACTACTACTACTACTACTACTACTACTACTACTACTACTACTACTACTACTACTACTACTACTACTACTACTACTACTA